CATCTAGCTTGAGTGTACCAACACCAGATTTCATAGATAGTAGAGATATGTAGCCATAAGGCAGTTTTATGTTTTTTTGTGTCATTTATGTTTGTTGCCTGTAGAATGTTTTCAAGTAAAGAAGGTAGTTGTACCTCTTCTGGAAAGTTGAGAAATTTGTATGTAGTTTCCCAGATTGTTTTGCTTAGTGGACATTTTAGTGTAAAATGTTCAATAGTTTGAGAGAGAACCAAACTTTTCAAAAAGCTGAACTCAAAAAACAATATAGTTAATATATTAAACTTTATAAAAACCTTTCTGGAGTACTCTACAAACATTGTTGGACATTGAAATAGAGTTGAAAAAGAGTCACAGCCTTGTGGTAACAGTTTAAAGAGCACTCTAGAACTATAGAAGAAAGAGTTGGTGAAAGCCAAGATTTCTCATTAAGTAAACAACAAAGTTGAATATATTAGTTCTATACAACTATAAAACTTACAAGAAACATTCACAAAGGTTAAGAACTCACAAAAGCTAAAGTTGGTTTACCTAGCACTCTCACTTTTTCTTCAAAGAAAATTTTGTAAAAGTGGATAATTCAGTTTACCTCCTCCTAAAGGTTGACACATTGTTTACTTCCTAAATGGGATTTTTTTCAATATAGTTCAAAATAATACAGCAATATAAACATGACTATACATGTGCCTCTAGCTGCTGAAAATTTGTCAAACACTGCCTTTGGACTACCCAGTATTCTATACCGACCCTCTACAATAAAGTTGAAGATTTTTTTCTTCTTTTTGGTTTTTTGTTAATAAATAGAAAGATAGTAGAGTAATTTCTATTTAGTATAGTTTATAATTTTTACAAGCCTGACACAGGCTTATAATTGTGATTGTCTGATATCTGTGAATTGCAAGTTTTATATCTGATACAGGCTTAAAATCATGAACATCTGATTTTGTGAATTGCAAGTTTCACACTTTCCTTTTTTCTCATTTTCTCCTTTTTCTCTTTTATTTCTTGTTTTGTATCTTTTATCATTTACTCCTATACCTCTGTTTTTTTTTACATATCAAATCTTTTTTTTTGTTTTTTTTTTGCTTTCCTATAAGAAGACATTATCAGATTGGTGGTATTCTATTGTAGAAGGCAGTCAAATGAGCAGTCTACTTCTGTTTGAAGTAGTGCAGCAGGTCATACTTAGGTACCAATAAGGTGGCTGGGTAATGCTAAACTTAAGTATTAGAAAAATTCTTAGTAATCTGTATAGTATCAAGAATTTTAATAAAGTACTAGCATGACTGCTTAAGTTAAAAAAAAAGATATATTTATATTTAAATATATATCAAAATCAAAATATATTATTATTATTTTTTTTTTTATATTAAACTAACCTTTTTTGGGCCTAGGGTTTTATTCAGTAATTTAGAACATAGGGACTTGCAGCCAAAGTCTCAAAGAAGTCACCTTATATTAGAGAGTACAACTAGCCACACATACACTTTTGGTGTCTAATTTAAGTAGTCCACCAATGGTTCTACACTAGCTGCCATACTTGCAATCCAACTAGGGGCATTGCCTATTTAAACTCTCTGTACTGCAATCCTTACTGTGTCATTAGATTATCTCCAATACAGATGTCAGCCAAGAAGGTCTAAATACTTTTACCCATTTCTCTTAGGACTCCATACTTTGTTTTATGCAGTGTATCCTCAGAAGCATTGTTACTAGAGCCTTCTGTGTCTCACACACAGCTAACCTAGTTTTATATAATACACTATAGTTACTTAACACTTGCAATTACAGAGGTTACCTGTTTAACTGCTATGTTATACTATTTCTATTCTTGTAAAGTTCATCCAAACCTTGGTACCTATCTTTCTGACTTTTTCTCTTCATCCCTCTACTATTCAACTCAGAATCTGACAGACTTTCCAGACTCCCAATCCAGATAGCCCAGTATGGTATATCTTAGTATCCTTTTCCTCTAGTGGCCTGGTTGGTCATGTGCTCCTCTACACATCTTTCTATCTGGTTATATCTGCCTATTCCTTATTGGGGTTTTCTGGGCTTCCATCAGTTCAATAGCACTGTTGAAGGCTTGTGCTACCTCTTTACTCAGGAATTTCCAAGTGTGCTTCTCAGTTTCTTGGTCTTCTACATCTGGTGGTCTTATTGTGGGTTTGCACTGAAGTCTTATACAACACTGGTTATTAACATTCCTCTATGTACTTGTAATATTACACTTTGCATAGATGCTCCAGGCTTCTAATAATGAGTAAAACCTGATTGGTTGTACCCAAGATTACAGATACCTAAATTCAACCAATTGACAAGAGACAGTTTACTGTAACACAGATTAATTACCAAATTTCATCATAGGTAGGATTTGAACCTTAAACCTGCCACTTGGAGGATGACAACCTAACCACTATACTAGGATTGCCATCCTCATCAAAATATATTATAATATGTTAATATTAATATATATTATAATAAATAAATTTGATAATCTTATATTTATTACTATTTATATTGATATAATATGTATTCACTTTAAATTTTCTTTTTTTTTTTACAGTTAAACTAGTCTTTTGAAGACTAGGGCTTTTTTATTCAGTATAGTAGAACACAGTAGCTTGTGATCTGATTACCTCAGAGAAGCTACCTTACATTAGAGAGTACATCTAGCCACATGTACACTTTTGGTGTCTAATTTAAGTAGTCTACCTATATATAGGTTCTACACTAGCTGTCATACCTGCAACCCAACTATAGGTGTTGCCTATTTAAACCCTCTGTACTGCAATCCTTACTGTATCACTAGAACATCTCCATTACAAGATGTTAGTCAAGAACTTCTAGATGTATACCCATACCCTTAGAACCCCTGCCTTATTTCATATAGATTATCCTCAAGACATCATTACTAGAGCCTTTTGTATTCCAATTTATAGCTAAACCTAGTTTACAACCCTTGTGAAGTTCATACAACCCCAGTACTCTCTTTTTACAACCTTACCAATATCTCATTTATCCTTGCAAGTCCTTCTATACTACCAATCCTGTTAGCCCTGCATGATGTGACTTCATGCCTATATCAACCAGTGGCCAGGTTGGTGGACCCTCTACCTAGAGGTTCTTGCTTGTACAAGTCACCTGCCTCAGGTTTCCTTCTTTAGATCATGTGACATTGCACACTTCCAAAGTTAGTCTTGATATAACTAGAATTACAGGATTTACAAACCCCAGATCATGTATAAGTTTGCTTAAATAAGACCATTTTTTCAAAATCTGTCATTGATGAGAATTAAACATTGGACCTACTGCTTGGAAGATGACAACCCAACCACTATACTAGGATCACCATCCTCTATTGTATTCACTTTAAATTATATATACTTAAATTAATTAAAATAATAAAATAATAATAAAAAAACTCTTTCTGGTTCACATCTGGAAACATAAAAAAAAACAAAATTAATACACATAACACAACAGTTTACTTTAAAAACACCAGTGGACCCAAGGTCCTGATACCCAAAAAGTGAAAACTAACTATAAACAGAACACAACACAAAAAGCCTAGGACAGATCACAGCAAAGAAAGAGTCTTTAGCTTTGCAAAAGCAGAAAATAATTAAAGTGAAACTACAAAAAATGACAGTTAGGAAAAAAACAAAATGAACAAACTTAACAGCATGTTAGAATTAAAAGCTGAGGAACATATAGCAAACTGGGCCAGTTACATAGAAAAAGAAATAGAAATAGAAGCCAAAGATGGTATCAAAACTGCAGAAACTTCTTCAAGCTGACAAAAAAACAAGCAACTATCAATATCAAAAGCAGCAGAAAAATCTAACAATAAACAGAACAACAAATATGCAACAAAGGAAAACAAACAAAAACATGAAAATGTCAGTAGCAACAAACATGTGTTGAGCAACAACAAACAAGAACACATGAATACAGAGAATGTTATGGCACATGAACAAAACAGTGTTGACTAATCATCAAACACAACAATAAATGAACAGGTTAGCCAACCTAAAAAGGAATTAGATGTGTGTAAAAGAAACACAAAATAGAGGCACAAAACCAAAGCAATGGTCTGATCTATTTACAAAGTTTAAAGGAGGAAAAAAATGAAAATGCACTAATAGTAGATATATTTAGTCTTAATAATATATCTACTAATGATATCATCATAGTGCTTACTGCTAGTCTGGAAGAAGACTTAGTAGCAGCCAAAGTATATACATCAAGAGGCAAAAGAACATCTCTAGAAATGATTTTTAAAGACAAAGAGAGAGTACAATACTATGTGACAGAAGGCATTTTACTTTTTAAGCAAACTTTGCTTGGATATATTTCAGTAAATCTAAATCACTCCTTTCTTACAATCAAACTTAGAAACACACTAATGGGCAATGCTAAGCACATTAGCAACAATATTCTAGAAGCATTTCAAGATGTTGGCCAGGTTGTATCAATTAAACCTCTGTTCTATGAAGGCACTACAGTATGCTCAGATCAGTGGTTGGTGATCTTTGAAACTACAGATGACTCAGACCTAACAAGCAGAATTCTCAGAAGCATACACATTGGTAACCATAAAGTTACAACAGAATAGAAAGAAGCTCTAAAAGTTTGCTTCTTCTGCAAAAAAGAAGGACACTTTAAAAGGGACTATAAAGAGCTAAAAGAATCAAGATGAAGACTAAAAGAAGCAAGAGAGCAAAAAGAAAGAGCCAAACTTCAAAAAACTGTACAGAATGAAATAACCATAAGCCCAAACAACCCTTATGTGGAGGGACCAAAAGAAAAGGTTGCTCAAGAACTAACAAAATCAGAACCAACTTTTAGTGCAAACAATCCATATGCTAAAAAACCAGAAGAAAATACACAAGCAAATGAGGAACAAGATGAATTAATGCCAATTTCTGAACACTTCTCAGTCACAGAAGAAGAAATGTCAATGGAATCAGAAACTGAGCAGCTAAACAATCCCACAAAGAAAGATAAAACTACAAACACCAACTGGGAAACAGAAGCACTTAACAACACAACAGCTCATTACCCACTTGAAAAAGGTTTTGAAGAAACTTCATTTACAACAGTTACTTATAGAAAGCAAAAGAAAAACAAAAAGGAACAAACAAGAAATCTTTAACATATAATATAATGATCAAAATCACTACACTGAATGTCAAAGGTCTAAAAAATAGGTCCAAAGCACAAAAAACACTTATGCTTATAAAATCGTATAACTTAGATCTAATACTAATTCAAGAAACAAACCTTAAAAACACAGACACAAGAAACTTTCTAGCAAAGCAATAGGGCTATGATTCATTCTGGACCTCAAAAACAGCTATATTAGTAGGATAAAGAGATACCAAACTTACAAACATTAAAGAAACCCTGGAGAGCCAAGTAATCACTGCCAAAACCAAAATTAAACAACAACCATTCCTAATTACAAACATCTATGCCCCTCCAACTTAAGAAGACAGAGCTCTTTCTTTAGAAAATGGACATTGATTAAAGATGAAGAAAGCATCTGCATCATAGCAGAAGACCTTAACACTAACCTCGATCCTGAGAAAAACAGAATAAGCCAAGCTGTACCACAAAATGACTGCTCAAGGCAAATAGTCAAAAGCTTATAGCTGACTATACAGACACAGCTATCTGCATAAATGATGAGCAATTTCTCACATTCTACCAAACAACACAAGGTGGCCAAAGAATGGCAACCAGACTAGACTACATCTTTATTGAAGCAAACTATAGCCACTTGTGTTAAAAAATTTATACCTGATTCGGCAACTCAGATCATTTACTAGTAGAATGTGAGTTTAGCCTCAAAAGCAGCCAAGATCACAAATCAATATGGAGATTCAACAGAAAAAGCTGGAAAATCTCAGAACTAAAAACAGACATTATACAAGAACTACAAAATATTCAAGACTCTAAAAACTGGGACTTACATAAGTGCATAATTCAATCAATAATTAGAGCTTACAAACCACACCCCTCACCAGAAAAAAAATACAAAAAATACATAGAAGAATATGTACTCTAAACAACAAGATCACAAAAAACCCAAACCTAAAAGAACTAAAACTAGTAATTGAAAGACACAACATCGAACTTCAAGAAGAATTAAGTTCATTATCAAACAAATAGTAAATGAGATCTAACACCAAATGGATAGAAGAAGGTGAAAAATCTACTAAATACTTCTACTTCTTATACAAAACAAAACATTTAAGATCTTGCAGCACCAAGATTAAAATCCCCAACAGTCAAAATGATACACCACAGAAACAAATTCTGGATTATATAAAAGAATCTTATCAGAAGATCTACAAAGAAGAAACATTCAACAAAACAGCAGCTTTACAAATCACTAATAACTTAATTAAAATCTCTACACAACAAAATGCACTACTTGAAAGGCCAATAACAGAAGAGAAAGTTAGTTAGATTATCAAGAAGCTTCCAAACAATAAGGCCCCAGGAGCAGATGGTCTAATGTACGAATTTTACAAAGATGCAAAGGAAACATTACTTCCAGTTCTTACCAAACTTTTTAACGAAGTACTAGAAACTGGGCATGCTTAACAGTCCTGGAACAAAAGTCTTATTACACTAATCCCAAAAAAATCTAACCATAAACAACTGGAGACCAATATCATTAGTAAACTCAGATGCAAAGATCTTTATAACCCAATTTGTGACAACATCATTGGCCCAGCCCAGCAAGCCTTTATTGCTAAAAGATCAATTGCAGACACTGCACTGGATATCTTAACAACATTAAGAAACCAGAAAGATCAATCAAAACAACACTGGGTTCTACTCCTAGATCAGCAAAAAGCATTTGATAGAGTAAATCATTAATTTATAAACTTAGTGCTCAAAGAAATGAACTTTGGTAACAAATTTATTAAAGTGATTAACTCTCTGTTCAAGAATCAAAATGCCCACATAATGGACTCAGGACATATCTTAGAATCATTCAAAGTTGAAAGAGGTGTAAAACAAGAAGATCCTCTATCTCTATTATTATATGTTCTTGCTATTAACCCTCTTATACAAGCTATCAGTAAAGACACCAGAGGCATCCCAGTCAACAACACTACATTCAAGGTAGCCACCTATGCTGATGACTTATCACTAGGAATTGGATAAAACTACAAGAAGTATTGCAAATATATGAAAAAGCTTCTAATGCAAGGATTAATAAGTCCAAATCAATTCTAATTCTACTTACAACAAATGCAAGAAGAGTTAAACTTCAAAGGCAAACAGAATTTAAGATAATGAATGAAGATCAAGACTCAGTTACAATATTAGGATATAGCATTGACTTAAAAGGAAGCCCAAACAAATCTCTATGGAAAGATACTACAAAAAAAATTAAAAATAAAATACAAGAACTATCACAAAGGAACCTCTCTTTTAAAAGAAAAATTCTAGTAGCTAAAACTCTACTTATATCCAAAATCTGGTACCTGGCTTACCTTCTCCCTCCCTTAAGAGGCCAACTAAGCAAAATTAACTCTCTAATAGTAAGCTGAATCAAGAATAACTCTAGAATGCTTCACCAGTACTCAACATTTCAACTGAATTATGATCAAAAAGGCCTTACAGCTCCAATACTAAAAGATATGCTAGATGCCCAACTGCTTATAGTATGGATAAAACTGCTAACTAGCAATTCATTCTGGGCCACTGCAGAAAGAAGTACAATTGACAATGAACTAAACATCAAAAAAAACACTACAGCACTAAAGGCTCTCTCACAAACCTTATGCAAAACCAGTGACTGGCCTAACAGATGAAAACCATATCTTACAGCCTGGAAAAGGTTTAAAGAAAAACTAGAAGCTAATACTGCATGGCCATGGCTAACAACAAACATCAAAATAGGAGAAATGGATGGAGAACAATTCAATGTAAAGAAAGCTCTAAAAGCTCTTTATAAACCATAAAAGCTTTTAGAGAACCAAACAAAGATAAGATAAAATCTTACAAAGTTCAAATGGATGAAAACCAAAATAATCTTAAACAAAAAAAGGATATAGCATGGTGACTAACTCACTGAGCTATTCCTTTAGAATATCGTCTACAATATATAAACCAAAACAAACTGGGCAGTTGTCCGAACTGCCAACATACTACACAAACTATCAAACATTTTGCTTTAAAATGTCCTTTAAGCAAGAAAATATGGAAAACAGCCTATAGCTTCTTTAAACACACCAATAAACCAATACCTTCTACCATAGAAAATATCTTTCAAGCATCTAATATAGGATCAACTAGAAAATGAAAAGCAGCCATATGGGTACATATAATAACAATATATGAAGTTTTGTGTTGGTACACTCAAGCTAGATGAGAAAACAATACTACCTCTACTGAAATAGCATCTAAAAAGATCTGCATACACTCTCTCCCGAACACACAAGTTTTGGAGTAGAGTAATCCTTTTGTTAAAAATAAGAGCAAACAACAAAACAAAACTGGCTAAAGTATTTACTAAAACAAGGACCCTTGCCCTTGTTCCAAGAAAAAGGTCCTTTATAGAATTTCAATACACAAAAAGCATAAAAACAACAAAAAAAATGGCATCAACAAGCAGCAGAAAAAAAGTAAAGAAAAACAAAGAAAACACATCAAGCTCTTTAAGCTTGATAACTGACATAGAAGAAACTACCAAACATGAACAAAAGAAAAGCAGGTACTAAAAGAAATTCCCAGTGAAAACTCAACAAGCTGGGACAAACAAGTTGAACTAGAAATAGAAGGAATGAAAGCTACTCAAAACCAAAAAGTAAACAAAAATAACACGTCTAAAGATACTATAGACACAACAACAAACAACACGTCTGAGGAACAGGTAATATTAGACAACTTAGAAGAAACCAAAAATGTAACAGGACAGGAGCTAGACACAATAGAAAACTCACAAAGTAGCAGTTCATTAAGCGAAACACATAAAACTAACCCTTACAATGACTTACAAAAAGACAGCGACAGACAAAAAGGTCCAAAAGAGACACTAACTAAACAGTGGT